TGTCCAAGCGGCATTCCGACGTAGGGCTTCACTCTAGTACGTATCCCTAAACCCGAAACCCTATAACTCTAAACCCTAAACTGTTATTGGTGCTTTACTTCCATTCATAAAGGAGCCCGAAACACAGGCCAGCATCCAAGTCCACCTAATCCCCAAAGACTTGTTCTCCCCAACCCCGTGCTGAAACCTACTTTTAGATGGTGTTTGGAACCTGTCTCGGAGAATCTTAGATGGTGTTGTGAATCTCGTTCTTAGATGGTGTTTTCAATCATGCTCGGTGTAGGTTTAGATGGTGTTGGGAATCTCGTTTAGATGGTGGTTTGAATCTTGCATCTCGTTCGGAGTATCTTAGCTGGTGTTTTGAATCTCGTTCGGAGTACTTTTCGATGTTTTTCAAGTTTTTGGGGCTCCCGTTGCCTTCTGCCATTTTGCGGGGGGAGGGGGGGGGGGGGGGGCATTGTTGGGGTTGAGGGGGCTTCTGGAGGTGGGGTTTAGAAGCTTCCGCACAAGTCTCGACTCGGACTTTTCTGGGCTCCATGTCCTCAGCAGGGATTGGGTCTCCCTAAACCCTAAACCCTAGACCCTAAACCCCAAACCCTAAACCCTAAACCCGGGTGGTGTTAGGGCATCGCAGATTCTCTAGACTCCGAGCTCTCAGGCCTGATTCTGGTTGGTCTCCCGTTAGAGCCTGCTTCGTTGGGGCCTGCTTTTGGAATCTTGCAGGATGCCAAAGTGACCCCGGAACCCTGGTTGGTGCGTTTTGCCCTAAACCCTAAACCCTTTTTTGACCCCTGGAACTATGCCGGGACGAACGTCTAAACCCTAAACCCTAAACCCTAAACCCCAAACCCAAAACCCTAAACCCTTTGCAGCAGGACTATGATGGAGTAGAGCGTGCGAGGCTCAGCAAGCAGCTCAACAAACCATGCATACCACTGAATCCCAGCCGCTCCCACAAGCCTAGCGCGCCAAACTTGAATCCCATGAAGCCTAAGCAAACCTTCCCCAGCTTTAGCTCTTAGAATTTGGGTTTAGGGCTTAGGGCTTAGGGCTTATAGGGCTTAGGGCTTAGGGTTTAGGGTTTAGGGTTAGGGTTTAGGGCTAGGGTTTAGGGTTTAGGGTTTAGGGTTTAGGGTTTAGGGCTCCCGAACTGCCGAACTGCCCCCAGTAAACGCTACACACACCTGAGAGCCTGTGCTATCAGAATCCTGTCCTCCCCAAGCCCGTTGGGATGTCCCCCCCTATACTAACAGTCCGGGCGATTAGGCCTTGTAATCCCCTAACCAACCCCATTAAGGGCCTTTTTAAGGGGTTATAGGGTATCATAGCCCATGTAGGTAGGGACTCAAGTCCTAAATCAGCCCTGCCACACCCTGAGCCTTCCTGGTGCGATCCTATCTCAGAAGTCAAGAATCGGTATCAACTACTTTTGCTTAAGAACCCCAAAAGGTTATATTTGCTGGGGGGAAGGGGGGAAGGGGGTTCGTAAGCAAATAGTAGGAACTCGACCTACGAAAACAGCCTCGGAAATGTGTCGAGCTGTCAGTTCGGAGTGACTCCGTTGGGTCAAAGGCACTTGAACACCGTGGCGGGCAGCTTCCTTCTCCTTGGTTCTCGGGTCTTTTTCTGAAACTGACCACCTGGACCCCCAAATTTAACATAGCCCCAACCCAATCATAAAAAGAGGCCATTCCTTTATTTGCTTTGAGGGGTTCACGTCGAGCTTTTGGGATTGTGGATTCGGGGCCTGCTCTGTTAGAGCGGACTGCACGCGTTGTGTGGAGGTTTTGTAGGGTAATTGCAGCGTATTTTGGGGGTCAGGGACAGGTTTCCGACGGTAGAAGAAACACCCCAAAACCCGAAACTTTAAGGAACACCCTATATCATAGACCCCAAACAGGAATCCAGCAAACACTTGAACAACTCAACCCCCCAACCTTAGCAAATCCCAGGGTGTGTAGGGCCATTCTTTGGAACCCTAAACCCTAAACCCTAAACCCTAAACCCTAAACCCTAAACCCTAAACCCTAAACCCTGCCAAGCCGCCGGCGCTGCAACAGCCCCTCTCGTGGCGCTGTGGCTGCCATCGCAAAAAAGGCCGAAGCGCAATGGGCAGGCTCGAAGAAAGGTTTAGGGCCCTCAGAAGCCCCCCCCTCCTCTAGGGTTTAGGGTTTAGGGTTTAGGGTTTAGGGTTTAGGGTTTAGGGTTTAGGGTTTAGGGTTTAGGGTTTAGGGTTTAGGGTTTAGGGTTACAACAAAAAAAGCCTTGATTCTATGAAAAGGTGGGGGGAGACCACGTTCAGGGAACCCCAAGGTCCAAAACTTGCAACTCAACTCCGTCGTTTAGGGTTCAGGGCTGAGGGTTTAGGAGCTTCAACCCCAAACCCTAAACCCTAAACCCCCAAGCCCGATGCCACACTTGGGGGGGCCACATGGAGGGGCTACTGCCCTGAAGCTCCGGCGGGCTGCGGTTTTCAGGATTCGCTGGCATAAGCGGCCCTAAACCCTAAACCCTAAACCCTAAACTGTATAACCCCTAAACCCTAAACCCTTAACCCTAAACCCTAAACTGTATAAACCCTAAACCCTAAACCCTAAACCCTAAACCCTAAACTGTATAACCCCTAAGCCCTAAATCCGAAACCCAAGATCCAAGGCAGAGATTAGGTACGACTTTAGGACGGCCTCCATAGCTTGAACGCTCTACAGGGAGAGGTTCCGTGGGGGCCTAGGGCCGGGGGCAGGGGAGGGGAGGTGACATCTACTTTCAGCTTCTCTTGCCGGATTGAAGAAGGGCATAGCCTATCCAGCTGCCCGGAATGAACCACATAGACCCTTTGCACCCTATAGACCCTAAACTCCATGATGGAACCCTGTAGACCCTGAGCCCTAAGCCCCGCAAGCCCGAAAAAACCCTGAACCCTACAACACAAAACCCTAAACCCTAAACCCTAAACCCCAAACCCCAAACCCTAAACCCTAAACCCCAAAAACAAATTGCCTTGGCCGACTCCCGGTCAAAGGAAGCCAGCGGGTTTTGCGCAAGGACGCGCGACGGAAGGCCCTCGGCTCAAAAGATGATTGGGGTTTAGGGTTTAGGGGGGTTGGGGTTTGTTGTAGTGTTTGGGTCTTAGGGGGGGGCTTAAGAAGTACAGGGTATATGGGGTTTATAGGTCTTCGTTATAGGGCTATCAGCAGTGTGGGCCCACAACCTCAAGCCTTAACAGATCCAAACACACACATAATCTCAAAAGCACATTGTTTAGGGTTTAGGGTTTAGGGCCCCAAGAGGCCCTAAGATGCCTAGGTTCCCCAGGAACCTGAGGAAAAAAAAGGGGGCAGGCAGCTCATTTGTGTTTACTTCACGTTGGAAGGGTTTAGGGTTTAGGGTTTAGGGTTTAGGGTTTAGGGTTAGGGTTTAGGGTTTAGGGTTACGGTTTAGGGTTTAGGGTTTAGGGTTTAGGGTTTAGGGTTTATAGCAAAGTGGGGATAAGGGCACCATTGGGGATCCTAGAGACCTCCCCATCGAACCAAGAGTCTCTAGAACCATCTGCGACAACTTGCTGAAGAACCCCCAGTAAATTAGGGTTTCGGGTTTAGGGCTTAGGGTTTAGGGTTTAGGGTTTGGGGTTTAGGGTTCTTTTTCAGAAGGGTAAGCAAAGAGTAGTTTTGCCGAGACCCCCCCCCACCCTTGCCCCCAGTTCCATCGTTTGGGTCAGGGCACTCAATCTCTTGATTGTCGTGTAGAAGCCACGAAGATAGGAGAAGCTCCCCAAAAAAGCCCGCAAACCCTAGAAACCCTAAAACCCTACAAACCCTAAACACCCTTAACATTAAACCCCCAAAACCACTAAAGCCCTAAAACAACCAAAACCCTAAAGCCCCTAAAACCCCAAAAAGCTTTACTAAATACTTCAAAACCCTTAAATACCTTTGTTTAATGAAACAATATATTTAAAAACAAACCTTAAAATACCCTTTAAAAAAACATGAAAAAATCGCCCAGGCCTCGAGATGGCGGCGGAGCACCTCGGTGGGCACGTAGCCAAAGAGGGTGCGTGTCTCCGATGACCGGATCAGCGGAAACCTGGCTGCTTGCTACTGCTGCTTGCTACTACTAGTGGGGTTTGGGGTTTAGGGTTTTGGGGTTGGCGGGTTTGGGGATGTAGGGTTTAGGGGTTTGGGTTTGGGGTTTGGGAACTTAGGGTTTGGGATTTGGGGTTTAGGGTTTGGTTCGACTCTCGCACTCGCACGCGGGCAGGTTTAAGGGTTTAGGGTTTAGGGTTTAGGGTTTAGGGTTTAGGGTTTGCAAACCATGGGAGGGAAATCTGCCGAGTCCGTGCCGAAGGCATCCTTTTCAGATCGCCTCAGGGTTTACCTGGGACCCTCTTTTGCCTACAGTGTTTTATGGGATATACCTACTAATTAATCAAGGGTAGATACTACTAAACTGCCGGAAAATCGAGTCCCAGGTAGGGTTTAGGGTGCAGGGGGTAGGATGTAGGTGTCCAAGACGCTGTGCCAGGGTTGTTGACTGTGAGCTTCGGTGCACGTAAGGCACTCAAGCCCCGTATACGGGGCTTGATGCGGTTTCCGGGGTGAGGTATAGATAAAAAATAGGTAACTGAACACAAAACACCGAAGAAAAAATAAGCACATACGCATATATATATATATATGTTTATATGTATATAGACACACGAAGAAAAAAGCCTTCGAAAAAAAAAGTGAACAGAACCCCCCCCCCCCAAAAAAAAAAAAAAAAAAAAAAAAACGCCAAATACTAGTGACCGCCGGACCACCATATAGCATTGCCTACTCTATTGAGTTCATGCAAGGGTGACCATGTTCGGAATGGACCTTTCACCCGCTGCTTGATAGAGGCAAGTGCAATGTGTACAAACATCAGTCAACTAAACTCAGCAATACTCAGCGCTGGATGTGTGTGTGTGTGTCCAGAGCTTTTCGTGAGACAGGGCACGCATCTAAATTAGCAGCAACACCCTAAATCCTAAACCCGAATAAACACTACACCCAATTTCAGAACAGATAGATCCGAAAAGACAACCCTAAACCCTAAACCCTAAACCGGTTCAGTCGAGGGCGCCCCCCGTACGTGGTCTCCCGCACGAGGTCCAGCAACTGAGAAACTCTTGCAGGTTCGCAGGTCAGGCACATGAGCTCCTGTCACTACGGACCCTAAACCTTATAAACCCTAAACCCTAAACCATAAACCCTAAAAGAATCCTACACTGCGGCGGGCCTGGGTTTGCTGTCGGGTTTGCCGTGGCTGTCAGGTCCAGATATTTCCGTAAAGCCCAAGAAGACTGCCCGTGTTGGGCTTCATGACTCTGGGTTTCCACTATTTGCTTGGGAAGCCCCCAAACAGTGAAAGATAATAATCCCTATAGTGCCCTGAAAAGCAAGAATATATATATATATATAGATGTATGTATACGTACATATCTATATATATATATAATACACCATTCTTTGTCTCTTTTAGGGGTTCTGAGGCAAATAGTAGGCGTGGGGTTTAGTGCAACAAGGCCTCCCGTGTTCCCGATTTGGGGGGTTTAGGTTTGGGGTTTAAACCCTAAACCCATTAGGGGGTACCTGATTAGGGTCCTTACTATAAGGGCATCCTTAGTTGTAACTTTTTTGCTTACCTGTAACTTCCTCTGTTTTGCTACATTTACTTGCTTGTGACTTCTTTTTTTGCTTACTCGTAACTTTTTCCGTGCCGTTTCCCGAGAAGGAGTGCCAAAAGCCCTGCTTGCCTATAACTTGTTTTTCGGCCTCAAACTGCGAATGCTGATTTGCAGTCCGTTACAGGCTTCAAGTCTTGCAACTTGCAGTCTTGCGGGGCTTCTCGCACTTAGGCCTTATCCCTTAGAGCCTGGGGTTTAGGGTTTAGCGTCTAGTGTCTAGGGCCTAGGGCTTAGGGTTTTAGGGTTTAGAGTTTAGGGTTTAGGGTATAGGGTTTAGGGTATAGGGTTTAGGGTGTAGGGTTGAGGGTTTAGGGTTGGAGAATAAGGCTAACTACAACCAGATGGGTGATAATACAACCAGATGGGCAAAACTACAACTGAAACCTCGAAAAATTGGCTTAGATAGGGGATAATACAACCAGATGTGTCACAATACAACTGGGGGTCTTGAGGGTCTTCGAGTGGCACGCCACGGGTCTGGAGGGATTTGTTGAGTCGTTGGGGGCCAAGGGTCTGGAGGGCTTTTGTTGAGTCGTCGGAATTTTCAATACCGTTCTTTTGCAGCCGTTGTTTGAGAATAGAACAGCTCGCAGCCACCACGGCCTTTCTTGGGGTTACATGTTTTCTCTCTCTCTCTCTACAAAAATATACATACACTATTGTTTACATATATATATATATACATGTATATGTATTGTTCTTACTATTGTTACTATATTTGGTATCATATAAAAAGTATTGCATTGTGATTTCTATGTTCGTGCTATGGCGCAAGGAGAAAGGACGAATCACAACCAACGTTATCCAGATTTTGTCCTGAAACCTGAAGGATGCGCCATGGATTCTCTGCAGGGTATGTCCAAACTTTTGAAGCCACCGCAATAGCCAGTTGTGGTTTCTCCCGTTTGGGCCAGCCCACAAACATGGTTCAGTTGTGTTTTCCCCCGTGGGGGTTGTGTTTTCTCCCGTTTGGTTGTGTTTCGACCCGGTCGCGGGTTTAGGGTTTAGGTTTTAGGCTTTAGGACATTGATCAGAAAGATTGGGCCAGGGGGCTGCGGTCTCAACGTTTAGGGTCTAGATATTGGGGTTGAGGGTCCCCAAACCCCCTGATTCCCTCATAAATACGGTGCGTGCCAACAGTCCAGGTAAAAAAGTCACGACTAAGCAACAAAAGTTACAACTAAGCAACAAAAGGTAATTACAAATACCCTAGCTACCTATTTGGGGTCCATAATTGGGGTCCCTGTTTATCGTAAACCCCCATTTCAAACCAAAGGCTTTGCAGGGTTCGGGTGCCGGCAACTCAGTCACAAGATTTGTTGGTACACCCCTTGTCGCGTCCGGTTGCTGGTCAAACCCTAAGCCCTAAACCTGAAACCTTACACCCCAAACCCCCAACCAAAAAAAACAAAAACTTAAAGTCTCAAAGTGCCTTTTGCTTTTTCCGATGTCAACGGCGCACAGCTGCGAGCGGCAACATCGTGAATGAGACCAGCGTGATCCATGGTTTCGGGTTTAGGGTCGAACTTCGGCTTTCGGACTTTCCGGCTTGGGATCAGACAACTATAGGGTTTAGGGTTTAGGGTTTAGGGATGCCGAAAAGCATCCAACTAAACGACCAACCTCCGGGTAAGCCCTGGAGCCTCGACAATTTCCAAGAGCATCATTATCCTCCAGCCCCCTGCATATTTACCCTACTTTGGAGTAGACCCTGGAGATTCACTGTTTAGGTACAAGTAGCTACAGGAACCCAGAACCAAAAAAAATTGTACTAAAGTATAGTACTCCAAAACTCAGATATGTTTCCAATCAACTCCCTCCCTAAACCCTAAACCCTAAACCCTTTTTTCTAAACCCTAAACCCTCTCTCTTAAAACCCTAAACCCTAAACCCCCCCCCCCTCCTCCCCCCCCTCCTCCTCCCCCCCCTCCTCCTCGCCCGCCTCCTCCCCCCCCTCCTCCCCCCCCTCCGACTTCAAACTGCCCAAGGCTGTCCGATACTAAGCTCCCTGCTTGAGAGGAAGCCCACAAGCCACATCAATCTTCACCCCTTTACACACACACACACACACGCACGCACACGCACACGCACGCACACACACGCACACACACAGACACACACACACACACACACACACACACACACACACACACACCCTAGTATTGGAGCCTTAATAGTTAGAACAGATTTTTTTTGGGGGGGGTCAAAGAATAATTCTGCAGGGAGCATAAGGGAACTCTGTTACTAGATGCTCCGACCCCTAAGCCCTAAACCCTAAACCAGCCCCTTGGAGCAGAAGTCCTCGTCCATGATATCACAGGCGCGGCTCTTGAACACAAGGTCACTGCCATGCCTCAGGTTTAGGGTTTAGGGTTTAGTGTCTAGACCCAAGAGTAACACAGGAATGAAAAGGGTGCGCGTTTCGGGTTAAAACGGGCAAATAAGGGGCCTAAAAACTAACAAAAAGGAAACTAAATAAGGGACGAGTTGGTAACACCTTTGCAAGTTTTAATGCTTGCGTAATCCCTAAACCCTAAACCCTGAACCATAAGTCAAGTGCAGAGAAGTCCAGGAAACTCAACCGGGGGGATTGACCCCCAAAAGCGTAGATCCTCAACCCAAATCTCAAGCAGTAGAAATCACCCCATTGTGACCCTAAACCCTAACCCTGAACCCCAAACTCAGAAGGCGTAGCAGAGAAGAGGATGGATGGGTTCGAGAACCTTAAAGTGAGACTTGGGCGGCTTCCTCCCTACCACTACCCTATTCTGGGGTTCTCAGGGGAGGGGGGTTCTCAACGGGGTATGCAACCCAAGGTTCCCTGATACTCCCCACTACCCCCCATGAACCCCCCTCCCTTAAGAACCCTGGTTTGGGGTTTAAGGTTTCTATGGGCTTTAGGGTTTGGGGTTTGGGGTTTGAGTCGACCTGCCAGGCAAATCTGAGGAGCAAGGAGCCAGCCAAAAACAAAAACAACCTAAACCCTAAACCTTTCTCAACTCAATCCTCTCCCAGATGTCTGGTCTTGGTGGCCCAGTGGCTGTCAGGAGTTTAGGGTTTAGGGCAGCTCTGTAAGGGTTCCCTTTTTCGGGGGGGTGGTTACCTTATAAGGGAACCTCAGATGTTTGTCTTGATAGCCCAGTGACTGCCAGGGGTTTCGACTCTCACGCTGCCAGGGGTTTAGGGTTTAGGGTTCAGGGGAGCTCAGTACCCATATTTTAAGAAGAGCTCCCTTTCTTGAGGGGTTGGTTGCTGTAAAAGGGAACCTTGGACCTAAAGGCAGCGCAAAGGTGTACCACTGGGCTAGCAAGTGCCCCGCATAGCTGGACGAAGCAGGTTAGGACTCTCAGGGATCAGAGTTCATACAGGGTTTAGGATTTAGGCATACCCGAAAAAAGATTGTCAGCACTCCATCAGCTCAAGCAAGAGTCCAGACTAGCCCAACAGTGTGCCAATGAGGCACTGGAATCTCTCTAAGTATCAGCCAACCGATACAGACTCAGCGAGTGATTATAGGCCCTTTCGCGTGGCCGTCAACTACGCCACGCTGCGAGGAGTAATAAGTGAGCGTCAAGGAAGCGCGATTGAACACTACTGCCGCGGCAGACTGTCGCCCCAAACTCTACTTCTCTACCCCCCCCCCCCACCTATCATATGCTGAAGAACCTCCCGAAAAATGTGTGTGTGTGTGTGTTTTTTTTTTTTTTTGGGGGGGGGTTCTTCAAGCAGATAGCAGCTTCCTTCTCTTTTCCCCCGCGCTACCTCAAAGAGAAGAATTGGGTATGGGCATGTTGTGGATGACGCCCTAAACCCTAAACCCTAAACCCTAAACCCTATACCCTAAACCCTAAATGATGCCCAGTGTGCCTTGAAGGGATAGCCTGCTTCAACGAACGACCGAGCTCCAAAGCTGCAAACCAGGTCTACCCTAAGCCCTAAGCCATACATACATTTAGGGTTTAGGGTTTAGGGTTTAGGGTTCTGGGGGTTACTATACAGTAAAGGGGCCATAAGGGACAACTATTGGTAATCACTCCGGCCCCTACATGAAGCCCTTGACCCAGAACGACCCAAACCCTAAACCCTAAACCCTAAACCCTAAATGATCTCCGTCTGGAGGGGCGGTCCAGGTTGCAGATGTGGATAGCCACGGAGTCGTATGTGGCAGTCGTCAATGCCTGGGCATTCTTTAGCGCTACCCTCTAAGACTGGGTGTTGCTTTAAAGCCCATTCAAAATTATTCATGAATAGGTTCCCTTAAAACAGGGAAAGAAGGGAAATTCAAAATTCTCCCAAAGCAATACCCAGTCTAGGGGTTTCGGGTATGTATTCAGTACGCGGGAAGGGGGGGGAGGGGGGGACTCCAAGCTCCTAAAAAAAAACCCAAAGACCAAACTCTATACCCTAAACCCTTAACCCTAAACCCTAAGCCCGAAGCCCTAAGCCCTAAACCCTAAGCCCTAAACCCTAAACCGCCTACTTCAGGCCCTGCGGAGGCTTAGGTCTCGGTCTAGACGGCCCCCCAAGAATCAAAGTCCAAGATGCCGAAGGTGGATGATGCGCCCTCGCCCTAAACCCGAAACCCTAAGGTTTAGGGTTTATCGTTTAGGGTTTAGGGTTTAGGGTTTAAACCCTACCCCTTCCCCCCCCCTCAGGATGCCTTGCCTGGAATTCTCTCAACACCTCAAGAGAACCCCATAGACTATGTAAGCCCAAAACCCCTTTTTTGCATCCGGGCTATGATTCATAAGTCCTGGCCGGAAGTAGCAGACTCTCAAGTCCTAGCCCAAAACCCCTAAACCCTAAACCCTAAACCCTAAACCCTAAACCCTAAACCCTAAACCCATGGAACCGGTTGTGGCTTTGGAAGAATTCTTCGGAGGCAACGCGTCTCCCGCATGTGCTCATCAAAGCCCCACCTAAACCCCCCCCCCAAAGCATGCAAAATGATGGCCCTTATATGGGTTTGGGGCTATTTTGTTACACACTTTGGGGGTCCAGGTAAACCCTATACAAATATACGTATCTATCTATTTATCTATCTATCTGCAGCCAGAAAGACTACAGGTGAAAGCACCCCCGGTCCAGTTGGCAATCATGATGGCAACCTTAAGGCGACCAGCTTCAGACACGTTTGGCGTCTTGGGGCTTAGGGATGTTCACAGGGTTGAGCAGGGTTCAGGTTTAGGGTTTAGGGTTCAGGGTTGAGGGCAAAATCAGGGTTCAGGGTTTAGGGTTTCATGGTTCAGGGTTTAGGGTTGAAGGGTTTGCATGGATATTCCGGGTGCATCTTGGCTTTTTGCAACCTGCCTAGCTGACACTCCTCTGGAGGTCGCATAATGAAAGAAAGGATTTCTGACGAGCGCGCTTTCAAAAGAATAGCAGGAACAACACTCACGAGACGAAGATGGTCAGAGACCCCTATTTAGGGTTTAGGGTTGAGCGTTCAGTAGTTGACCAAAATGCTATCTTGTCCCTGGGAGTAGGGAGAAGATAGAGAAGGACTCAAGAAACGGTCCTTCATGGAATGGGATAGAAGCAGTGGGGGCACTAGGGAACGGATTGCCTGCCCTTGGGGCCCCCCCTCCCTGAACCCGAAACCCAAACCCTAAGCACTTTTGCAGTAGTAGTCTATGTTACCAAGGCTTAAAGGGCGAACATGGATTCCCGAAGTTGATGATAAAAGCAACACCCGCCCCCCCCCCCCCCCCCCCCCCCCCCCCCAAAAAAAAAAAAAAAAATAGTAGAGGCTCTTGACTCTTGACTCATCCACAATCCAAGAATCTTCGACCGTCCCACACCCCTCCCTCCCAACCGCTTGTGGCCGAAGGGGCCATGAAGGGGACGACGAGCTGCAAAGCGCCTCTCGAGACTAAGAGGAACCTGAACCTAAGGAAGAGACGCCTTCTACTCATCCTTCAAGAAACCTCGAGTTGGGCAAGCTGCAAACGACCCGAAGATATGTAAACCCTAAACCGCTCCAGGCTTCAGGCAATGTATGGGGTAGAAGGCTACCTCCTTCAGGCTCGGAGGAAAGCAACGCCCTAGACCACAGACCCACAAAAGCTACAAAGCCCTATAGCCCAGACTTCAGCTCCCCCCCACCACCAGCCCTCGATCTCGCACCCTAAACCCTAAACCCTAAACCCTAAACCCTAAACCCTGAACCCTGAACCCTAAACTCGTCCCCTCCTCCCCCCAAAGTCTGGAGCCCCAATACCACAGACCGCAGACCGGTCCTGTCAGCTCGAACATGACCACCTGAGCTGTCAAGATGGAATACAGAAAGCCCTAAACCCTAAACCTATAAACCCTATAAACCCTATAAACCCTATAAACCCTATAAGCCATATAAACCCTATAAACCCTATAAACCCTATAAACCCTATAAACCCTATAAACCCTATAAACCCTATAAACCCTATAAACCCTATAAACCCTATAAACCCTATAAACCCTATAAACCCTATACACCCTATAAACCCTATACACCCTATAAACCCTAAAAAAAACCCTACACCCAGGTTTTACTTCGGGGCGTAGGGTTAGGGGTTGCGGGCTTCGGCTCCTGGATGGAAGCCTAAAATCGGGTCACATACCTGGGACGTTTAAGGTTTAGGGTTTAGGGTGTTTCGGTTTTTTCGGCGGTTTCGGGGGGTTAGGGGTTTAGGGGGGTTTCGGGGTTTAGAGGTTTAGGCGGGTTTCGGGTTTTAGGCGTTTAGGGAGGTTTGAGTGTTTAGGGGTTCAGGGGGGGGGTTTCGGGGTTTAGGTTTGGGATGTTCCCTCCCCATACAACGGTAAAGGTTTGAAATGGTCCCCCTTATACTAACAGTCCTTAATCGGGGTACTGTCGGTCAAGGTGGGGTTCAGGGTACTTCCTACCCCAACAGAAGCTGCACTTCTAGCCCGCTCATAGCCATATTAGGGCACTTAGGGGGCCTATAAGTGGCTTATAATGTATAAGTACAGCTGTAAGGTAAGTTGATCCACCATAAACCCTTTGAGGGCTCTTTTGGTGCCCAAGGAAGTGCTCTGCAAACGAAAGGAGGCACTGCAAGCGCCGCAGCCTAAGCCCTTGTCGGCCTACAGCCAACCCCAATGCAGACATATTGGCGCAGCTTGCCTTTGGGGGTTTACGACAATAGGGGACCCCTAATAAAGACCCCAAATAGTGGATCCCCATATTATCAGGAGGACCCCAGTAAGGGAACCCTTTTGCAGCCAAGTCTCACGCCGGGCATCACCAGTAAAGTACCCCTAACATCGCGCAAACCCCATATGCCTAGGACGTTTGACTCATGCACCTGCTGAGCGGACAACCCTCAACCCTCAACCCTCAACCCTCAACCCTGAACCCTGAACCCTTGCCGCCCGGGAAGCCACCAAGGAGATGTGAACCCGACAGACGCCCGCCAGGGTTGCAGCTGCGCCGACCATAGCGAACAGGCCTCGAAGTCCAACAACCATGGGGGGTTTGGGGTTTAGGGTTTAGGGTTTAGGGTTTAGGGTTTGGGGTATAGGGTTTAGGGTTTAGGGGGAGTGTGTGTTTGTCATTTTTTTGTTGGGTTGGGGGGCGAGGGGGGGGGGGGGGGGAATGTAGAAGGGATCGCATGTGTTTGCAAAGGCCCCGCAAGGGGCCTCAGCGCAAAAGCCCCACTTCCAGGAATGTTTATGGAAGCCTTTGAGCCCCTGAGATTAAGCATTCCGGCGCCCCGCCTGGCCGTATTGTTGCCCCCAGCTCGCAGTAGCTGTTCACCCACTCGGCGAGGAGGCCTTAAGTGAAATCCAGTAAGAGGCGTGGAGCTCGCGGCTGGTATGGTTGGCCTAGAACGACCTATCCATGCGAGCATCGGACTAGGCCTCTTCAGCAAAAGCACAAGACAAGCAACATCGGCAAACCCTAAACCCTAAACCCTAAACCCTAAACCCTAAACCCTAAACCCTAAACCCGAAACCCGAAACCCGACACCCCGTTCCCGGACCCCAGAGCCTGAGCCCCGGCCACAGCAGGCGCCCACCAATAGCGCGGGGAAGAAGTAGCCACCTATTCCAGGATGGGCTACTATTCCCTAATTCAACCCTGAAAAGGGCCCTTTATGGGGAGGTGGCCTCGTCGTACAACCAACGCAATCCTAAACCCTGAACACCACGCCACACAGACCCTCAAGCCATCCCCCGCCCCAGACCCTAGATCCGAACTAACCCAAAGGGTACCCTGTTCCTCTGTCAAGACAGTCAGAAGCGAGCCAATTATCCCTCAGCGACGGCGACGCGGGCCCACGCAGGGTCCCAAACCCCACAAACCCCAAACCCCCAAAGCTAAATCCGCTTCATCTTAAGACCGCATGAACCCCAAACCTTATAAACAGAATGTGTTGCATCAAGCTTGCAGCGTCATAGGCCCGTATAACCCTAAACTTCACGTTGCCCAAAAACCCCCATAAACCCTAAACCCTAAACCCTAAACCCTAAACCCCAAACCCTAAACCCTAAACCCTAAACCCTAAACCCTAAACCCTATGCACCCCAAACAGGGCGATGTTTCTGGGAGCCTGGGATTCCCGTGTCGTAGGTGATGGTCATGGCGAACCTGGTGGCGGTTTTGCATTTTTAGGGTTTAGGGTTTAGGGTTTAGGGTTTAAGGTTTAGGGTTCCCAAGAATAACCTAGGAGTACAAAGGGTGCCATTTTTGGTTCGAAGCGGTCTATAAACGAACCTAAACCCATAAACGAGCCTAAACCCTCAAAAAAGGGAATGAGGGCCTCATCTGGGTCCTAGAGAAGGCTTGGCGGATAGGGTTCCGTCGCAGCTCAGAAACGAGTCGAGACAAGGCCCCATCTAGTCGAATCGGTCCGTTAGAAGCTGTCAACAAGACAGAACATCTACAGCTGTTTGTGATCCGAGGTACAGACGAAGATAGGGTTTAGGACTAGGGCTTCAGTCTTAAGGGTGCGGGGGAGCCGGGGGTACAGCTTCCCTTTCTCTTTCTGCTCAATGGGCAAAGGAAAGAGCTACGAGCTTCACAGGAAGGCATCGAAACCTAAATGCAAGAAGCGTGAAAGAACGGGCAAGAAGAGATTTAGGTTTAGTCTAGGGTTCAAGGGGGTTGCATGGGTAGTCATGGAGAAGCTCCCGCAGTATATGGAGCAGGTGCACCTTCCCACCTCTTTGTTCGCCTCGAACCTCCGACTAAAGCCCCACAACTCAACATGGGTCCCTTGAAGCCGGTTTAGGGTTTAGGGTTTAGGGTTTAGGGTTTAGGGTTTAGGGTTTAGGGTTTAGGGTTTCACGGTTTAGGGTTTAGGGTTTAGGGTTTAGGGTAAAGCTGTCTAAGCCCCACGAATTGGGACCGTCCTCCCCCTTATAAACCCTGTCCTTCATGGAAATTAGAAAACCCCCGATTAGGATGCCCATGAACAAGTGATAGCATAAGGGCAAACATCCCAACCCATGAGCCCTAAACCCTAAACCCTAAACCGTAAACCGTAAACCCTAAACTCCAACCCGGAAGCCTGGGGAATCTCAAACGCTCCCGGGTGGGCCAAAAGCAAACATAAGCTGGCTCGGGGGACCACGAGAGCAAGCCGCTGATGAACAAACTCCTGCAGGGCAACTGAAAGGGTTTAGGGTTTAGGGTTTAGGGTTTTAGGGTTTAGGTTTTAGGGTTTAGGGTTTAGGGTTTAGGGTTTAGGGTTTAGGAGCAACCCACTCTTTCTGTTTGGTAGCCCAGTAGCCGTCTTATCATGCGGGCACCCCTGTGTTTTTTTGGATCGGGTGCTTTATAAGGGAACCTTGAACCAAGAAAAGGGCAAAGGGTAACACTGGGCTTTACCAAGATTTTTGCACAGGATCCATGGCGCCTGGCCTGCGGCGCACAGAGAGAGCATGATATGACCCTAAACATCCCTAAGCCTTTTAAGGCCTTTAAGGTTTAGAGTTTAGGGTTTAGGGCAAACCTTCATCCCAGAATCCCCTCGGAAATCTGGCAATTTTAATAACTGCAGCAGCCCTTTTCACAATGGCGGAGATACCATAGGGGGTTACTGCGGGGTCACTGTGTGATCCAGATACTAAGGTTACTGCCAAACATAACAGGGCTAAGTAGGGTTTGGTTCATGGCTGGTTGCGTACGACATGCGGGTGTCGTAGTCGGATAATGTGCATTGAGCACTTTCTTCGCTTACTCGCAGGAATCCAACACGGATACCGCCAACCGCCTCAATGATGATATCAAGGGGAGGGTTCGACTTTGCACATTGCTCAATAGTGCTTGCCATGCTCATCTTCTCTCAGTCGTTCTATCTTTCATCGGATTCCAAATATGTACTCAGCCAAGCGCGACGACTGCTCCTTTGACGACACGGATGCAGAGGCAAAGGTTCCTAAACTCCCTAAACCCTAAACCCTAGAATTTGCCTTGGATCCCCGCGCGCCCCCCCCCCTCCCCTCTGCGCAGGACAATCCTTGCCAGGTCTGCGCTCCAGACGACCGCGCCATCTTGGCAGAAAGCAAGCAGATCCTCAAAGCCGGTGTCTGAGTTTAGGGTTTAGGGTTTAGGGTTTAGGGTCTGGGATGTTCCTAGCTTCATAGGGTTTATAGGGCTGATGCTTGGCCCCCTAACCAGCCCCACTGCCCGCTGCCCAATAGACAGGGTTTACAGGGTGCCCAAAGTACACCAAAAAGACATGCGTGGTCACACATCAGCTTACTTTTTACTGACAGCTCAAGGTCTGCAAAAGCCACGTGTGACCCACACGCCAGTAAAACCCCCCAAAGCCGTCACAACTCAAAGCCCTTCATTGTTGGGTACCTTACCGAGCCACACTATGAGGGTGCCCCCCCCCCCCCACCCTCCCTAAACCCTAAACCCTAAACCCTGAACCCTGTTTACTAAACCCTAAACCCTAAACATGCCAAAAAAGGATGTAGAAAACCTGAAGCCCTATGAAGCAAAGGCACTGATGCATCCTGGCAGTTCGTGAACAAAGCCTTCCATGGGTTTAGGGTTTAGGGTTTAGGGTTTAGGGTTTAGGGTGTAGGGTAGTTCAGGGGCAGGGGCCTTCGAATTCGAGGGGTTGGCGCGGGGATAAGAGTAGGCAGTGGAGTGTTTGGACTGTATAGACAGACTGCTGGAGTCCTCGGACGGTCTCGAGGCAGGGGCAAAGCAAATTTGGGAAAAAGACAAAAATAGAGGCGGTTTAGGGTTTAGGGTTTAGGGGTTGCTCCCGCCTTCAACCTTCTCCTGGTGTGCCCTGCAATGTGAGTTGTGGTTCGAACTCCATCTTATCACATGCGCACTCCAACAATAAGTCGAACCAGCCGCAACCCCAATTTTTTCAATGAACAGGACCTCAAACCTGCCGTGTTGTATGTGTAGGGGCAGGGTGCAACATGCATGAAAAGTCAAGAAAAAAAGGTGCCATTCTTCTACATGCTTCCTTTGTATTAGGTAGTATTGAGTCGCCTATATGTTCTCGAAGGCTTGTCGAATTGCGCCTGTAGCGCCATACCTTCGTTGATCTCCAAAAGCAGGGAGTGCCGAGCCACCTGAAGAAGCCGCAACACTTTGGCGTTTAATTTGGGGTTTAGGGTCTAGGGTCTAGGGTTTAGGGTTCAGGGTTTAGGGTTTGGGGTTAGGGTTTGGAGTTTAGGGCTAAACTGACGTGGTTTAGGGGTTCATAAGGTTTAGACTCTTGGGGGTAGGGTTTCCTGTTCTTCTTTGTTTGGTTTCCGTGTGGGGGGAAGGGGGGGGGGGGGGGGGGGGGGGGGGAGGGGAGGGCGGCGGGGAGT